GTTGGGTTTTGGGGGGTTGAGGATGAGTTTTGGGGGGTTGAGGATGAGTTTTGGGGGGTTGAGATGGGTTTTGAGGGGTTGAAGATGGATTTTGAGGCACCAGAGCTGAGTTCCAGGAGGTTCCTCCAACCAGTGTTGACATGGGAGCGGTTGTCCCGGGGACAAGAACACCAGGAGACATCGTCATGGCGACGCTGGAACCATCAGGAGCATCTGAGTGTCCCATGTCCCCGAGGGATCTCAACCCTCTGAGCAAGAAACCAACCCCACCATGGGGACATTGGTGGTGGGTACCGAACGCTACGAGATGGTGACCACAGTGGGGAAAGGGACATTCGGGGAGGTGACCCAAGGATGGAGAAGAAGCACAGGAGAGATGGTGGCCATTAAGATCTTGAAGAACGAAGGTCACCGTGGTCAAGTAGCCAAGAATGAGTTAAAACTCTTAGAAGCTCTCCGAGAAGTAGACACGGAGAAGTCACACCTCATCCGTTTCTTGGAGTCTTTTGGTGACACCACATGGACCTACTTGGTCTTTGAGTTGTTGGAACAAAACCTCTTTGATTTCCAGAAGAAGAACAACTTCTCCCCGTTGCCCGTCCGGCACATTCGCACCATCACGGCACAAATCTTGATGGCTTTGGTCAAGTTGAAAGAACTTTCCATCATCCATGCTGACCTCAAACCTGAGAACATCATGTTGGTAGATCATCTTCGTTATCCTTTTAGGGTGAAACTCATCGATTTTGGTTCTTCAAGTATCTTCACCGAGGTCCAAGACATCAAAGAACCTTATATCCAGTCAAGGTTCTATCGTGCTCCTGAGATCTTGTTGGGTTTACCCTTCGATGAGAAGGTGGACATCTGGTCTTTAGGTTGTGTGGTGGTGGAACTTCACTTGGGTTGGCCACTCTTCCCTGGTGTTAATGAGTACGATCAAGTTCGTTACATCTCCTCCACCTTGGGGTCACCACCAAGTGAGTTACTTGGTGCTGCTCGGAAAACGTGGTCCTTCTTCCATCGTGTTCCACCTCCCAACGGTTCTTGGCAACTCAAAGCACCTAATGAGGAGATGATGAGGTCAATGGAGAGGAGGAAATATGTCTTCTCCTCATTGGATCAATTAACATCCATCAACATCCGCCCAACGGTTTATCCCAGTTGGGAAGCGTTGGCTGAACGTTGTGACCTACGTGGGATGGTGGAATTGGTCAAGAAGATGTTGACTTGGGATTCACGCAAGAGGATTGTCCCCAGCGCTGCCCTCAAACATCCTTTCATCTCCTTACAGCAGGTGAAGACCAGTTTTGAAGCCACCAGGTATTATCAGTTGTGTCAAGAAGATTTGAAGGCATCTCAGAAGGATGGTGGTGCCGTTGAGATCTTCTCAACCATGAAAGAAGAAGGTTCTTCCATGAAAGAAGGAGGTTCCTCCATGAAAGATGAAGGTTCCTCCATGAAAGAAGAAGGTTCCTCCATGAAAGAAGGTTCCTCCATGAAAGAAGGAGGTTCCTCCATGAAAGATGAAGGTTCCATCACCTCCACTGCTCAATGTAATATCCAGAAGGTCATCGCTCAGATGGATCAACTCAACCTGGTGGAGATGGTTGGTTCTTCTCACCAAACTCCCATCCCAACTCACTACGGAACCCGGCACCGACGGCATCGCCAACGGCACAAGACTCAACCCAACGCTGGGAACTTGATCGTCTTGGGATCTTCTACCAGGAGGGAACAAAGAGGTCACCAAGATTTTGGTGGCATCGTGGAGCAGAACCTGCCTGGAAGACCTTACACCTCACCCCACGTCAAGGTACAGGGGGGACAGGGTGGCTCCTGGGTGTGGTGGCTCTTGGGGTTCCTTTGGGTGCTTGGGGTCCACCAGGTGCTTCAGGTTTATGGATGCTCGAGGTTCCTGGTGTCCCCATGTCCTCTGGTGTCCCCATGTCATGGGTGCTCAAGGTCCTTGGTGTCCCCATGTCCCCTGGAGCCCCATATCATGGGTTCTTGAGGGTCCCTGGTGTCCCCATGTCCCCTGATGTCCCCACGTCATTGGTGCTTGGGGGTCCTTGGTGCCCCATGTCCCCTGGTGCCCCCATGTCATGGTCCCTGGTGTCCCCACGTCACTGGTGCTCAGGGGTCCCTGGTGTCCCCATGTCCCCTGGTGTCCCCATGTCATGGTCCTTGGTGCCCCCATATCATGGGTGCTTGGGGGTCCCTGG